ACACATCTTTCTACAGGTGTGTGATAAAAAATTTTGCTGTTCATGATGTCCATAGTACCTGTCTCATTATACAAATTACATATGTATATGTTCAATATAACTGTATTTCTCAGTTTGACACCACTAAGTGTATTTGTATTCCGTCTTAATAATGATGATCTTATTTGTTACAAAATATGCAAACATTTTGTCCAAAACTGTACAATCAGTCAGAAACTATTTCTTTGATTTTAGAGCAAAGATGCATTAGACTATCTTCTGTGTCCTCCGCGAGGATTCTAACAACGGATTTTAGTGTTGTAAGTCCGTAGACTTATCGCTGTCCCACCGGGGGACATCAGAAAGTAAGTCAGAGAACAAGCTATCTTCACTTAATGGGATGTAGCGTTAACGATTGTAATTCACATTCAATTATGCTAATCCATAAATTATACATCAGGCCTCTCTTTGAATCAGGTAATATAATAACATTGCAAAGGCAGTAGTACCAAACAATCAGAACAGGGTATTGCCCCCTAATCTACACCCGATATTTACCTACGATCAATGATATACTTACAGATACGAAATACACCTTTAAATAAGCCTCCTCAGTTTACAAGAAAACTTCAAAATGTAACATTCCATCAACTAAATTTCCGTTCCTAGCTGCCACACCCCGCATTTTGACAAAAATACATTTCACTTTAAAACTTAATCAAAGGCCTGTATATCCTGTAATATATCTAAAACGAGTTAATAAGAACGCATAACAATTCCAGCACAATAGCGTTTTCTCTCGTTATTATAAGTTAAGCAACAGTAATACAGTAACGCTCTCTTTGTGAGAGCAAGGAATTAAGCATAATACTATCATTACCACTCCAGTTAGTAGTATATAAGTACGGGAACAGCGAAATCCTCAACTCAAAAGCCTTTCGACGATAATCAAAACACACACAAAAGTATATAATTGTGCGACTAATAACTTTTTATCTCCTATGTAGGTTTCAGTTCTAGCACTGGCCGGGTAGAATATTCGTCGCCTGGCTAGTGAAAGAGTAGTTTTCTCGGCGCACTTCAAGCTCTTTGGCGTTGAATCCATCGATCTCCGCCACAAATATTAGTGTTAGATCTTTTGTTATCTATTTATCTTCGTAAAATGTTCTACGTATAATCTTTCATACCAAATACCTACTACGATGATGGTGATCACCAGTGACACGTAAATATACTGTGTTTTTAACTGCATTACATTATGTAAACAGTGCGTCTGTGCCTTTTGATTACATAACACATGTTGGCAATATACCTTTGTCTTCTTTATCTTTCTGCATAACACACGAAAACAGTGTAAATGTATCTCTGACTATATAACAATGTAAACAATATAACTATCTTTTCGCTGCATAACAACGTAAACAATGTAACTGTATCTTTTGGCTGCATCACAACGTAAAGAAAGTAACTGTATCTTTTAGCTGCAAAACAACGTAAACAATGTAACTGTATCTTTTGGCTGGATAACAACGTAAACAAAG